GCACATGAGTTGTTATTTCAGGTATTTATGTTTGCAATAATCATAACCTAGACACATCCTCGGCACAACTACTAAAATCACCAGATCTACTGCAGATAGCTAATTTAGTCAAGAGAAAAGGAAACAAGCACAAATAGTATTGTGACAGTTCACTTGCAGCTGACAATACATGAACTTACTGATCATTGTTTTAATGAATTCTGATTAATGGTTCATTCTGTTAAGAGAGAAGGCAGAACTAGATAAGTACTTTTTTATGGTACATGATTTAGGCAGCTTGTGAAGCATGGGCAGCTTTAATTTCAATTAGCAGCTCTACTCTAACAGGGTATATAGAGCTTCTTCTTACATATGTTGTTCTTCTTACAYGTGTTCTTACATATAACAGGAAGTGACCACTTCGCCAAACGCGAGAATTTTGCAATAACTGTTTTCAGGCTATACAACAACAAGATCCCTTGCAATTCATTGCAACTCAGGACATCTGGAAGCTGCTGTTTTAACCTCTTTTTCCTGCTCACATTTATGTGAGCACATGCCTTCGCAAGCTCAGTAATTGTGTGAAAGGGTCCAGTAGTAAACAAGGTATCCAGACAGGTTCCATGTTTTACTTACGACCTAATTAAATTCAAATTCAAAACCTTCAAGAGGAAAATGCAAAAGGTTTCTTTCCCATTAGCCACTTCCTTTCTCCCATACGCGTTTACACACAATCACACACACACACACACACACACATCCCTTTTATTATGTTGTCTTCTTTCCCCAAATGTTCACCTTTTGCAGGTAAAACAGTTTAACACAGCCAGAGCATCGCAGGATAAACAGGATTCTGAGGAATACTGGTTTGTGTGTGAGTGAGTGTGAGAAAGAAAGCACAAGCATACAGAACAAATGCCATGGTACAGCAGCTATGAAGTTACACACACATTACACGTATTACAAAAGGAAAAAATAGTATAACAGCATAAAGCCATCTTGGCAAGCTTAAGGTTTTTTTTTTTTTTTTCCAAAATGCTTTCCAGCACTTCAGGATCTCTGAGAACAGTTTGAAGAGGGCGGGGAAATAAAATAAAAWAAAAAAAGGCACTTAAACAAAGGACAAAGGCCTGAATCAAGTAAGTCATGGGGGGTAACAGCCATTTCACCAGAGCTTGGACCAATCAAAAATCTAATAACCTTTAATTTCTATAAAATTAAAATTGCATAAAGTGTTAATTAATCAGTCATTTACCTACAGCTTTCACYTTCTGGTTCATTTCATGAAACAAACAAACAAACATACAGAAAGCAAGTGTCCCTTTAGTGATTCTCCGCAGTTAACAAAAGATGAAAGGTAGAGGTGTGGGAGGAAGCCTTCCAGAGTTTAGCTTGACTGCAGGTTTTCCTGCAATACCATCTTCCAGAAAATCCAGATCAAGAACAGCAGAGGGACCACTGTGCCATTAGCAATTCACTCAAACAAAGAAAGAAAACCCCAAACACCAACACTTCTAATCCATCTGTGGGCAAAAACTACTCAAAAAAAAACCCCTTAAACTGTAAACTAGATTAAAATTTGCTAATAAATACAGCCAAAAGTTCATTTTACGAATGTAGCAGCAAATGTGATAAAGTTAGTTGGAGTCCAACACGACTCCTGGAGGGTTAATGGTTCACACAACTGATGGCAGCTTGGGAGAGTTCCAGGATTTCTGTTTTCACATCCTCAAGGCTCTTGCACCAAGTGGAGAAGGAGTGTGGAGGAAGGGTCAGGTGATGGGACAGCAGGGAGGCAACAGGCTCTTGGCACCTGCTCCAGCCCCAGACATGTGCATCAGACAACTTGGATTGGATTCAAACAAGACACAGAACCCAGACAATTGAAAGTTACTTCTGATTAGCAGAAAACAGATGTAAAACCCACAGCATTCACACTGGTGACCGAGTTGCTCGGTTTTAGCCATGTATCTCAAATTAACAGAGAAAACTGGACAAAGTGGACAAAATTTAGGCCATTAGCATCTTTCTTAGAGGGAGAGAACACTGCAGTTATAGTCCAAGTCACCAAAAAAGATTTGCAGCCCATTTTTCATCTTGCTTGCCTCCTTTTAACTTACTTCACACGTCTCAAAAAGGATTTAGAACAGCTACTATCACTTTTGCGGGTTTGGATCACATAGCAGAAAATATCACTCGGAAGGTTTTAACATCTAAAACCTGTGTTTGAAATTATTGCTTGCATTTGGTTGGGGCTCACCATGAGCCTGACACCTTCGCTCATACACAGTCCCCAAACCAAGTTCAGCCCTGCTGCCTAGAAAGACAGCTCTGCGTGGCTTTATTGCTTGTGAATACTGAGGGTTATTTAGTATGTACAACTACAGTTTTATTACCGAAGGCCTTTAAAAAAGTAGTAAAAACCTGGGGAAAACCTGTCTTTAGAAGAACTGCTGTGCAGGAAAGTAGTGAAGTATTAACCTAATTTTGCATGGGGATATTGCAGACATCTTTCACTTTTCATCCTATTTACGCTACTTGGAAATTATCCAGGAGCCAGCCTCTTATTTCCTTTGATTTGGCTTTGCTAGGTTTAACTCTCAAGGGAGAAGAGGGGAAAAAGGAATAACCGGCCCTTTCATCACCATGTCGCTGATTGCGATGACACTCAGGATTATGACTGAAAATAGTTACCCTTTGGTGGCTGTTTGACCTGGCTTCACGAAGAATACATGATTTGATTCACGTTCATCACCCTATAGCCTAATTTCACAGTATGTGGTAGTTTACCTGTTTCCCATGACTATCAGAGAAGCTCAACAGGCTGCAGCATCTGATCTACTCCCCATCTTAAGGTTCAGAGAGGATCTTCCTCCCCAGAAGGAAAAGCCTACTTCCAGGAGGAGAGATGCTGAAAGGATGCTTGTTCGGCAATTAAGGGACTCCAAGTCCCCAGATCTCCAATTTCCTTTAGTAAATATAAAGACAAAGACAGCAATTTGAATGAGGTGCCTTGATGAAGAAAATGTAGAAGAGGTAGAAGTCTTCGGACAGGGTCTTTTAAAGGTATTGCTGCCTGGTGCAACTCCCCTAGCTACATGCATTATTTGGAAAGTTCTGAGATTTGACAAAGTTCAGAGATTTAACATCCTGCCAGAATTGTTTGGCATCAAATTTTCTTCCTTCAACCCTTCCCAAAGGAAAAAAAAGTATCAGATAAAATGTGCATTTTAGCTGATGATCATGTTCTGGTGAATTTGGATCAGATTAATAATGGCAGGGTCTGCACAGCTATGTTTCAACTCTAAACCTTGACTGAGATGTGAGCTTATCTAATCAACATGTTACATACAAAACATTAGCTAAAAAGCACGCAATTTGGCTGATGCTACAGAGTGAAATTCATGAACTAATGCATCTTAGATTAATTCAATCTGTCTTTCACAGAAGTGTTGTGCAAAAACATTTATTGCTGAGCTCAACCCAACATTTTATACTAAATATACAATATATATTATTTTAAATTCATGTTATATATATTTATATAAAATTAAAATGAGCTCTAAATAGAAAAGAAAATTGTTGTATTGTCTAAGAAAAAAATCACACAAGAGAAAACTGAAAGCTGTAAGTTAATCTTGCAAAGAGCTTTGAAGATTCAGCATCCACAGGTAAAAGCCTGTCTGTGGAAGGTGAGACCACTGGTAGTCACTGCTTTCAGTCTCAGTTCAAGCTACTGCAAAGATTAGCTACTAGGAATTTCTGCATTTCTGATCAAAGGAATGTTTCAGAGTTGAAGGAGAAGGGCATCATGATTTTAACTCCTTCCCCCCATTGCTTATTTTATTTTGCCATTCTCATCTTTTATTTGACAACACATGGGACTTCACAGTTAAGTTCAGTCCTAGTGTCAAAAGTGCAATATGTGCTGGGTATTTCCTAACCTCACAAATTAACCAGTCAATGTATTGCTATTAAAAAAAAAAAAAAAAAGAGGAAAGCCAGTTTTGTAGTCTTGTGCTACGACGTAAGGAAGAGCTCAGGTCAGAAACTCCCCAGGCCAGCAGGGGCTGGAAATGCTCGACACAACCCGCTCAGCCCCTAGAAGAGAAGGCACCTCTGGTCGCTCTTGAACGACTCCTCTTTGGCTAATGCCTCAAGAGCCCTAACCTGGCTCCGGAATAAGTCACATTCAGCCTTCCTTGACTAGCAGGTCTATATAATGCATGGCTTTTGGGAGGAGTTAGATGAAGGATGAGGAAGATCGAGARTGGGTGAAAAACCTGATTATGTTTTATAAAGCATGTGATAGGACATTACTTCATTTTAGTAGCAGATAGGCACAAGGCAAAGCAGAACCAAGTGAAAGAACTAAAATACCACAGTATGCCTTAAAAAAAAAAAAAAAGGGAGGAGGGC